ATCTAGTATTATTCTTATAAGTGTACTACTGCATTTAAATCCTATATGATTTAGGGGCGCCTGGGGGGCTCAGTCGTTGGGCGTCTGCCTTCGGCTCAGGTCATGATCCCGGGGTCCTGGGATCGAGCCTCGCATCGGGCTCCCTGCTCCGCGGGAGGCCTGCTTCTCCCTCTCCCACTCCCCCTGCTTGTGTTCCCTCTCTCGCTGTGTCTCTCTCTGTCAAATACATAAAATCTTTAAAAAAAAGAATACTAGATTTTGCAATTGCCCCTGTATTATGTCGAGATCTTTACTTCTTCATATGGTGTCAAGTTAGTCTAGTGTGCTTTTATCTTAAGGACTCTCTTGAATATTTCTTGTATGATAGGTCTAGTGGTAACAAAATCCCTTGGTTTTTATTTATTTGGAAATGTCTGAATTTCTTCCTCACTTTTTAAGGACACTTTTGCCAGATACAAGCATAACTCAGAAATATTGTGAGTTCAGTTCCAGACCCCCGCAATAAAGCAAGTTCGCAATAAAACTAGTCAAGTGAATTTTTTGGTTTCCTAGTACATACAAAACTTATGTTTACACTCTACTAAAGTCTTAAGTGTGCTATGTCATTATGTCTAAACAAAAAATGTTCATACCTTAATTAAAAAATACTTCTTTGCTAAAAATGGTCACCATCATCTGGGCTTTTAGTGAATCCTATTCACTAATCATACATCACCATAACAAATGTAATAATAATGAAAAAGTTTGAGATATTGTGAAAATTACCAAAATGTGGTACAGAGACACAAAGTGAGCAAATACTGTTGGAAAAGATGGCACCAATAGACTTGTTCAACACAGGATTGCCACAAACCTTCAGGAAAAATGCAATATTTGGGAAGCACTATAAAGCACAATAAGATGGGGTATACATAGGATTGTTGGTTCAGTTTTTGTGTGGGGTTTTTGGTTTTTGTTTTGTTTAGCACTTTGACTATATAGGCCCACTGTGTTCTGGTGCCCAAAATTTCTGATGGGAAATCTCATATCTTATTGAGGAACCCTTGTATGTGATGGTTTGCTTTTCTCTTGATGCTTTCAGGTTCATCTTTATGATTGGCTTTTGAAAATTTGATTACATCTTGGCGTGAGTCTCTTTGAGTTCATTCTGGAGTTTGTTGAATGTCTTGTATTTTCATATTAATGTCATTCATAAAATTTTTCACTCATTATTTCTTCAGATGTTCAGTCTACCTCTTTCTGTCTTCTGGGACTCCCATGATGTGTATCTTGGTCCTTTTGATGGTGTCCCTCAGATCCTTTATGTTTTGTTCCTCTCTTCAGTCTTTTTCCTTTCTAGACCTCAGCCTCAATAATGTCTGTTGTCTTGTCATCAGAATCACTGATTCCTCTGCCTGTTCACATCTGCCTTTGAGTCCCTCTAGTGAATTTTTCTGAAATGAAAAATTATTGTGCCTTTTGGCTACAGAATTCCTTTTTGGTTTCTTTTTAGGATTTTTTTTTTAAAGATTTTATTTATTTATTTGAGAGAGAGAGACACAGCGAGAGAGGGAACACAAGCAGGGGGAGTGGGAGAGGGAGAAGCAGGCTTCCTCGTGGAGCAGAGAGCCCGATGCAGGGCTCGATCCCAGAACCCTGGGATCATGACCTGAGCCGAAGGCAGACGCTTAACAACTGAGCCACCCAGGCGCACCTCTTTTTAGGATTTTTTATCTCTTTATTGAAGTTTCCATTTGGTTCACTCATCATTTTCTTAATTTCCTTCATATCTTCTATTTCTTCATATTTCTTCTATTTCTTTGAGCAACTTGAGGACTGTTGTCTTAAAGTTAGTTGTCTAATATAGCTAATACATATATAACCCTGGAAGTTGTAAGCCTTCAGCAGACTCCACAGGTTTACAAAAGTTTTATCAGCTAGATTTGCCAGTGCAATTATTGTTTAGGTGGGGAAGCAGATTCCTGGTGCTTCCTACTCTACCAGCTTCCCAGAATCCTAAATCATTGACTTTTAAAATCAGGTCTTTTTAGGGGTGCCTGGGTGGCTCAGTCGTTCAGCGTGTGCCTGCAGCTCAGGTCATGATCCCAGGGTCCTGGGATTGTGCCCCGCATCAGGCTTCCTGCTCAGTGGGAAGCCTGCTTCTCCCTCTCCCACTCCCCCTGCTTGTGTTCCCTCTCTCACTGTGTATCTCTCTGTCAAATAAATAAATAAAATCTTAAAAATAAATAAAATCAGGTCTTTTGTAAATTTGTCTTAAAAAAACTTTCTTGTGAAACTCTTAATTTTGACCAAGAAAAATTATGCCAAGATGAATTAACAAGCAATAAACAAAACTACAAAGCCAATAAAATGTATAACTCCAAATCATTGAAACTCATGTCATTAATTGAAATGGACTAACAATATTTTGCTCAAAGTAAATCACTAATATAAAAATATACAGTTTGTCTCTTTTTGGTGTATGATAAAATATACATAAAATTTATTGTTTTAGCCTTTTTTAAGTATGCAGTTCAGTTGTATTAAGTACTGTCATATTGTCATGCATCTGTCACCACTGTCCATCTCTAGAACTTTTTCATCATCCCAAAGTGAAACTCTCTGTACCCATTAAACAATAACCCCCCATTCTCTCCTTTCTCAGCTGCAGGTTCTTTTTTGGATTCTGCATTATCTATCTTTCAATGTGATGCTTTAGTTCTTTTATCAGTTTGCTCTGATGGAAACACCTTAGAGTTTTCATTCATAGTTTTCTGTGATACTTGGTATTTGCTTGTCAGGAATTTATCATTTATATATGAAGATTGTTTCTTGCTTTCATTAGTGTTCTCAGCTTGAAGTAATTTTTTTTTTTAAAAAGATTTATTCAGAGAGACAGTGCATGTGCAAGTGGGGGTTGGGGAGAGAGGGAGAGAGAGAATCCCAAGCAGACTCCTTGCTCAGCACAGAGCCTGATGCACAGCTCGATCTCAGCTGAGATCGACCCTGAGATCACGACCTGAGCCGAAATCAAGAGTCAGATGCTTAACTGAGCCACCCAGACGTCTCTTAAAGTAATTTAAAAAAATCACTTAATGAGAGCAAATACAAATAGCATGTGGTAGTCTCTCAGATGATATAGAATATACTTAAATATTTTCAATTAACATTAAAACAAAAAATTTTTAAAAAGATTTTGTTTATTTATTTGACAGAGAGAGCAAGCACAAGCAAGAGGAGCAGCAGAGGGAGAGGGAGAAGCAGGCTCCCCACCGAGCAGGGAGCCTGATGTGGGGCTCAGTCCCAGGACCCTGGGATCATGACCTGAGCCGAAGGCAGATGCTTACTCAACTGAGCCACCCAGGCACCCCAACATTAAAACAAAATTCAAAAAATTTTGTACAGACTTTACACAAGTATTAGATCTCCAGTGTAAACAATACAGAGCTAGGTTATTTCCTGTAGACCTCATCATAAGAGCATAGGCAAATGTAGTAGAATTAAGAATAGAAAGGGAGGGATAGCTCTGACAGAGCAGAAAGTATGGCAGCAAATCCAGATGTGAAGGGATTAACAGAGCCAAGGGTGACTCCAATGATAGGAGCCTGAGCTATCAAGGGACAGATTTTATCACTAACAGAAGTAGGGAAATATGGTAGAACAGCAATTTGGATTAAAAACCATTTGTTGGGTTAGCAAGCTAAATCTATGCAGGAAGCAGAGATATATGATTAGAGGTATGATTTAGGAGTTACTGACATAGAGTTGAGATTGATGACTGAGTTTTCCTCTAGAATGAGAGAATGCATATTTAGGTCAGCAGGAGCAAGAGTGTTAGGGTTTCTTCTGTAGATGATTGCAAGAAGCAGGAACAGTGAAGGACCCAAGATGTAAGATGAGAATCATGATAATCATGCCCTGGAATCCAAGGAAGGCAGGTATTAAGATGGCAGAAGCCAGCAGCGTAGAATGGAGCAGAGCATGAGGGAAATAAAGGATGACCAAAAAAAAGTTCAATAACATGCAATGTATTCATTCGCTGAAAGTTTACTCTTTTTCAAGGAAATTGAGTTTTTGTTTTCAATGAAGAATGTCTGATTATAGTGTTTTTAAAGGAGATTATGCTATTTCTTAATCCTTTGGAATTTTACTCCCTGTATTAGATTTCCTGCGACTCTTACTATTAAATGCTCTGTGATAACTTTACTTGTTTTAGAGGTTAGAGTTAAGGATTGTCTGGGTGGCTCAGTCGGTTGAGCGTCTGACTTTTGATTTTGGTTCAGGTCTTGATCTCAGGGTCTTGAGTTCAAGCCCCATGTTGAGCTCCACACTGGGCATGGAGCCTACTTAAAAAAATAACTTGAAATGACTTGGGATATCAGACATTTAGTTTGGAATATTTTAAAGATTCCACCTTAAAAAGACATTTTATTTTTTTAATTAGTTAACTTATTTATTGATGTAGTGTTCCATGATTCATTGTTTGCCTATAACACCCAGTGCTCCATTCAGTATGTGCCCTCTTTAATACCCGTCACCAGGCTAACGCATCCCTCCACCCCCCTCTCCAAAAGACACTTTAGTGTTGCATCATACTCTTGTTGTAATTTATTGTACAATTGTTTGTAATAGGTAGAAATATAATAGTATAATTTAGTTAGCTTTGTGTTCATTTGAGATTAAAAATTACAATGTTAGTAGCCACTCTGGTTTTGAGAACAATCAGGCAGTTTTCATGGGAAGAAAGTAAGAAAGACAAAATGGAAATGGTTTAAGAAATTTGTAGTTATTAGATAAAACACTTGTTAGTGATTTCTTCATTGGAGTAATTATTTGTTATATTTGCTTTTTAGAAAATCACTTCGAGAAATGTATCAATCAGATTCTGAAGGATGGGCCTCTTCAAAAGATCTGAGAAGTCATCTTGGACATTTAGAATCAGAACTTCTTTTTCTAAGCACACTTACTGGCATCAGTGTAAGAAATTACTCCATGAAGACAGAGGACCTTACAAACACTGAGAAGAAAGAAAAGAGTAAGCATTAATTTTAATTTAGAAGTGATGTTGAAGCTTTCCTTATTATGCATAAGAAATTGGTTGTCATGGCATTGAATTAAAATTCTACAAGGTAGGGGCACCTGGGCTGCTCAGTTGGTTAAGTGTTCGACTCTTGATTTCACCTCAGGTCATGATCTCAGGGTTGTGGGATCGAGGCCTGTGTTGGGCTCCACACTCACTGGGGTGTCTGTTCAGGATTCTCTCTCTCCCCCTCTGCTCTGCCCCCCCATGGGTTCTCTCTCTCTAAAAATAAATCTTAAAAAATAAAATTCTATAATGTAACTATATGACAACTATATGACTATGTGGTTGTGGTAAACTTGTTTTGTCAGGTACCTTGAACATCACAGTGTGCATAATACTCTTTTAAAGCTGTCTGAGGTAGGTATTAAGGAAGACACAGACTTTGCCATTAAGTATCTTAATACAAGTAACAGACACAAGTGATTGAAAGAACAACAGCACCCTTGATTTGTAAATCTTAGGAGTTGTTCACTACTGACCTGAAAGCTGCCTCATCTACAGTGTTCTACTCCTACCAGACATGGCCTGTGCCAAGATAAATGTTTCAGGTGCTGGACCATTTTCAAGAGGAAGGTTTCTGGTCCCAGTGACTTAAGTTTTATTGCCAAGGGTCTGTGATGTGATAACTTATAAAGGGAAGCTATCAGCTGTGCATTGGAATTTGGGAACTTTGGACAAGAGTATCATCCCTTAAAGAAGGAATCACTTTTGGGATGCCAGGGTGGCTCAGTTGGTTAAGCATCTGCTTTCGGCTAAGGTCGTGATCCCGGGGTTCTGGGATTGAGCCCCACGTCAGGCTCCTTGCTCGGTGGGGAGCCTGCTTCTCCTTCTGCCCCCTCCCCCCCACACTTGTACTCACTCTCTCTCAAATATATAAAATCTTAAAAAAAAAAAAAAAAGAAAAGAAAAAGAAAAAGGAGTCACTTTTGGAATTGCTTCCTGACTTTTCCACTGACATAACCCTCATGACTGGCATGATAGTGAGTTGATCCTCAGAGGGTCTTGGGTAGTTCATCTCAGTGGAAGTCTGAAATACAAACAGAAATGGGTGACAGACTTTAGGCACTTCAGATACTTGAAAGGAAGAGATGGAATACAGAGAGGATGGGAGAGTGAGCTTAGGCCAGTTTTAACTCTGCTAGTGCAGAAATCTTAGTCTTCCCACTTTGAGTCTTCCTAAGTTGACCTCATCTGCAGAAGTACTTGGTGCTGCCTATTCAGAATGTGCTTTTTTTATCTTTTAAAGATTTTACTTGTTGATCAGAGCGAGCACGCACGAGCAGGGGGAGGGGCAGAGGGAGAAAGAGAAGCAGACTTCCTGCTCAGCAGGGAGCCTGATGTGGGGCTTGATCTCATGACTCTGGGATCATGACCTGAGCCGTAGGCAGACGCTTCACTGACTGAGTCACCCAGCTGCCCCTCAGAATGCTTTTGAATGGGCTTAATACTGAGCTTCCCCCATTGCTGGCTTAGGTTTTAATTTTCCTGGGTCTGCCAGATTAGTTCTTTTTCTGTGTAATATCTAGCTCATCCATCTTATTTCCACCTTCCAAACGAAGTTACTCTCCTTTTTCTTCTTTTATCCTTGTAAAGTTGTGCTCTTTTAAAAAATACCTTTGATAGCAAAATCAATAGTGGTTATCTCTTGGGCAGGTAGTATATAGCCTTGAGAAGGGCATGAGAGAACTTTATAGTGTATTTTAAAATTTCTATATTTTTATCTCAGTTGTAGTTACATGGGAAACATGTTAAAAAATATTGTATACTTAAGAATATGGCATTTTATGCATTGAAGTATAAAATTTTGAAAGATAACAGAAGTAAATAGGTGGATTCAATTTAATGTTTTTAACTAGAGTCAGATAATGTTGGAAGAAAACTCCGTCGAACATTTATGATTCAAACTTGTGTAGGATTATAGTACCTCCTTCCTTTCCTTTCCTTTTTCCTTTCCCCTTTCCTTTCCTCCTCCTTTCTTTCTTTCTTTCTTTTTTGGAGAGAGAACTCAAATGGGGAGAGGGGCAAAGGGGGAGGGAGAGAGAATCTTAAGCAGGCTCTGTGCTCAGGGCAGAGCCCAGTGCAGGGCTCGATCTCATGACCCTGAGATCATGACCCGATCTGAAATCAAGAGTTGGACGCTTAACCAACTGAGCCACCCAGGCACCCTATACTAGCATGTCTTACTATAATCTTTAGTATAATTAAGAAATAGAAAGTATAAGTTACCTTTAATCCAACTTTGCAGAGGTAAATCAATTTGTTGCACATTCTTCTAGATATTTGTAATGTAAATACTAACATAAACTCTCCCACATATACCCACATGTATTATAAATGTTCACGCAAAGTTAAATAATAGGTATCTGAAGGAAACTTATTTGCAGTAAAATATTTTTTCTGATTTACAGGTATAATGAAAGTTCTACAGAGACACAGATTATCAGGAAATTGCCACATGATTACATTTCAACTTGAATTTCAGATTCTGGAAATCCAGGTAAATGGAGTGTGTTGTGGTAACGGAGGTTCTACTGTGATTAAGCAGTTTCCACCCCCCAGCCTTCAGCAGTGGCTGAGCTGAGGAAGCCAGGGTCCTCTTGTAGTACGCTTGTACAAAGTGATACCATTTTTACAGTATAACCATCCTGGCAACTGCATGTGAGAGGGTTATTGCTGAGGATCTAGGTGCTTTACTGGAAGGCAGATAGCAAGTTCATCCTCGTCTCTCAGAGCAAGCCCCGAGGTCATGGGAAGAGTCCTGGATGCCCTCAGTGGTCTGCTGATATGCCAGCCATGTATTATTTATGCTTAACAAATTTTCCTAAAATTTAATGGCTTAAAACAACAACAAAATGTTTATCTCACCCATTTTCTGTGGATCAGGGATTTGGGAGCAGCTGAATTTGCTGTTCTTGTTCAGGGCCTTTCATGAGATTGTGGTCATTTGGAACCACAGCCATCTGAAGACTGTTCAGGGCTGGCGGCTTAGACTCCAAGGTGGGTTGTGGTTACTCCAGCAAGTTACACTGGACTGCTAAGACACAATGCAGGAGGAAGATACTTCTGGCTAAGACTTTGCATAAAATCAGGAAGCAGACAGAATGATAATGTGCAGCATATGGCCAGGGTTGGGCAGAACAAGGTCAGAAATCTTCAAAGTTTGGCTCCAAGAAGAGTGGGATCCAGGCATAATTTCAAGAATTGACTTGGCCTAGACACAAACTTTGATAGCAGAAAACAGTTTAACCAGTTGGTTTTGTGAACTGGGCCTATGAGAAGTATGTGTAAAGGAGACTCACAGGGAAGGGCGGGCAGGCTATCTTGGCCACAACTTATCGGATAACCAAAGCAGATGTAGACCAGTTGTCATAACCCAAGTCCTATGGACATGATGCTTGCTTATATTTATAGTCATGTACCAGAATTCCTGATCCTTGTCCTCAACCACAAAAACAGCCCTAAGTTTTCCCATTTTGTATAGAACAAGGATTGATGTTAGATAATCAGGACCCTGCCTCCTTAAGGTGTCAGATGGCCACCCCAACTAGTCAAGAGTGCCTGCTTCCAGGTATCTGAGCTAGAGGTTTTGTTTCTCGAGAACTCTTTGCAGTCCATATCCATGGTTGCTGTCACTGGCCCTGGCAGACTGAGAAGGGCTATGGGATGTCTAGGCCCCTCATCTGATGACAGAGCTCCCAGGTTGCTCCCACCTCAGAGTATTCCCCCTTCGACACTGTTGAGATGACTAAGAGCATTCGGAGTGTATCATTGCCAAGGCTGATTGAGCAGGATCTGACACAGGGCATGGGTGATGAGTGGCCTTAGGGGAGGTAAACATTTCCAGGTTGTCGCCAGGCCTTGGGACTGTGCAGGGTCACAAGGTGAAATTATTGTTCTGCATGACCTCAAAGATCATCTGCCGAAGACTAAAAAAGAATGTGGATACAAATGGATTGGTCTCACTTGGGATAGTCTGTGTCAGGACCCATGCTTCTCTTTTGGGTGGCTCAGGAACTCCTGGATGTTGTCCCATTACAAAAGGTGGCATAGTCATTCCAACTGAATTTTTTCTCTTTGGGGCTAATGTGATCTTAAATTCAGAGTGGTGATACACCACATACATACCTGCGTCCTGGCCTCCATTAATAGTCCAGGCCTATAGTGCATGTGAGGTTGGTGGAGTCAGGCCCAAGGTCCATCTCCACGTCTGAGAACATTTGTAGTAGCCCAGGAAACTGCTCAGGAGCATCCTAGTAGCCTTGGGGTTCTATATGCTATTTCTGCTATTGGTGCTTATCTTTTACACGGTCATTTCAGGGGTTATCTGGAGAGTAGCTAGACTGTTGGCAAAGCTAGGCTCATCCTTGGGAGGCTTATCCATAAGTCCAACTGAAAAGAGGTTAGTCCTTTGAAGTTGAGCTGAACCAACTGCTCAGTGGAGCTGTACATTCCAGAATGGGTTGTCCCCAGAGATTGATTGGCCTGTTCATTAGGGGGACTGTGGCCTAAGAGATAAAACAGACTGTAGTTTTTTAACTTCATTTTGTTTAAGTTGCATATTTTGGTCAACTTAAGCCTCTGAAGGCAAACACCAGTGGTAGTTTGATTCCATTATGAATCAGATCGAGGATGACAGCACAGTTTGGGGATATGTTTTATACCATGATATGCTTCTGAAGAATGGCTGCCGCCTTACCCGAGGCGTTGTCTGCATGAACTGGCACTGGGCGGCTCCCTAGTGGTTTGGCGTGCTGGTCCCGTGTTGGCTGTGTGAGGCAGTACAGACAGGACCGAAGCCACGTGGGCCTTGCCGCAGTGGCCGTGTTCCCTGCCCTCTACTGCGCAGTGGGGGCACCAGCCCAGAGCGAATGTTGTTATCAGTAGTATATTGAGCTTAATATTATGATCCCATGCCACCAAAGCAGGATTGAAAATTTTGTGACCATTTAGGAATGGCTTAAAGGTATGCTATTATCTCACATGCTGAATAAGTGAGAATTAGTTGAGCTGCATATGACAGAAAACTTAAAGGTAGATCGAAGTATTAGAAGTACTAGAAGTTTCTCTATTGCTTAAACAAAATTTTGTTTTTGTTTGTTTTTGCTTAAAATTGCAAGGTAAGTTTTCAAGAGCTAGTATGGTGACCTTATGAATATCAGGCTCTGCCGTTACCCATGTGACTTCCAAATCCTGGTGTGATGATCAGTTGAGCACTTCAGGCATCGGGAAGGGGGAATGGGCAATCAAGGGCTTAGCTTTTCTCTTGAAGGATACTTTCTACAAGTTGTAACAACCATCATTTCACCTACATTCTATTGGCCAATAACGTCCTGCAAGGGAGGCTGGCAATTCAGTCTTCATTATGCATGGCCATGAGACCAGTGAAAAATTGGTGCAAGAAAGAAGTACATGTATTGAGAACTACCAGTAGTTCCTGTCTCATATGCTTTGGGGGATGCAGGGGAAAAAAATCTAAGGAGAGGAACAGTTGATATTCTTTGATAGACAAAGAACACAGTAACTGTTGAATCTCTAAAGACATGTAAGTTGTTATTTTTCACATTTCAAAATAGTAGGAATCTTTGAACTGCTCAGTTTTACTTAATTTGCTGCAGACTGTCCCTGGGAGAGTTAAGAACACTTGGTTTTTCTCTGTGACTTTCCAAATTTATGATTTTTCTTGAGCACCAGACTGCTCAGTAAGATGTTGCAAACAATCAACTCTCAAATAAGGAAGATTTTTAGGAATGTCATACGTGGGACTCATGGGCTTTCTTGGAGAAGCAGTAAACAAGGGACTGTCTATATTTCTTTGTTCCTTAGAATTCAAATGTAATGAGCTGATGAGAATTTCTAAAAAAGTTATTTAATGGTAAATCCTCACATATTCTAGGCTTTACTTGTGTAAATATGCCTTAAGAGTAGTAGAATTGCTAGGTCATAGGAGATGTACATGTAAATTCTGATAGTACCAGATTGCCTTCTAAAATGGTTTTGCCATTTTACATGTTGAGCAGATTTTTATAGTCGCTCACTAATAGAAAAAGAAGGTGAAGATACAACAAGCTTCTGTGTTCTTAAACATTTTTTAAAAATGGAATTTCCACTAGAGGGAGATGTTTAACCACCAGATAATTAAAAAGTAACCTAAATAATAAAACTATCTTCCTTAATACTGTTATAATAAAATCATAGTAATACAGTGTGAGAACCGTAAGTGACCATATAGACTATTAAGCTCAACCCCCTTATTTTAAAGGGAAATAACATCAGGAGAGTTTGAATGATTGTCCATGTTGGCACAGCTGTTACTCTCAGAGGTGGTTAGAATATTCAGTTCTGCTCTCCAGCTTTACTGTCTGGTGTTGTAAGAACATCAGAATTAACATGTGTCAGTATTCATACTCCATGCAGTATAAATAAATCAGATCAGTGTCGCTTTGTAGGGAAAATGGCTAAGAATGTTTTCATAACTACTCTTCCTGAAACCCAGTAAAACAAAGTGATTCCAGAGTAAGGAAATTTTTAATTAATATCTGGTCTTGGCACTTACTCAACTACTGGGATCTGTTAAAAATAGGGGTGCCTGTGTGGCTCAGTCAGTTGAGCATCCAACTCTTCATTTTGGCTCAGGTCATGATCTCAGAGTTATGGGATCAGGCCCCATGTCAGTTTCCTTGTCTGCTTGTCCCTCTCCCTCTGCCATTCCCCCCAGGTATGCTCTCACGCTCTCCCTCTCTAAAATAAGTAAATCTTAAAAAGAAAAAAAAAATGGGGCACCTGGGTGGCTCAATCTAAGCATCTGCCTTCGGCTCAGGTCATAATCCCAGGGTCCCAGGATTAAGCCCCACATCGGGCTCCCTGCTCAGCGGGGAGACTGCTTCTCCCTGACCTCTCTCTCTCTCTTGCTCACTCTCTCAAATAAAGTCTTTTAAAAACAAATAAATAAAATAAAAATAAAATAGGGTCCTTGAATATCACAACGACTTGAGAGACAATTAAGAGCTAGGGCAGAACAGAGGAATTATATTCCAAACTAAAGAAGAAGATAAAACCTTAGAAAAAACCTTGATGAAATGGAGATAATAATTTACCTGAAAGGAGATCAAAGTCATGGTCATAACGATGCTCACTGGACTTGGGAGAAGAATGGATAAACACAGTGAGAACTTCAAAAAATAAATAGGGGGTAAAAGAGCATTTGAAACAGAAGTGACAATTGAGTACAAAAACTGCACTGAAAAATACAGTAGGGGGTTCCCATAGCAGACCAAAATACATGAAAGGATCAGTGAACTTGAATACAGGGCAGAGGAACAGACCCAATCAGAGAAGCAAAAAGAAATAAGAATGAAGAAAGGAAAGATAACTTAAGGGACTTATGGGACAGGATCAAGTCAACTGACCCTTGGCATTATAGGAATCTCAAAAGAAAGAAAGAGAAAGGGACAGAAAATTTATGTGAAGAATCCAGGAATCCCAGAGAGTTCCAAAAGA